ACAGCTGCTTTTGGACACCAGAGTGCTCTCTACAATGCCCTGTTCTTCCAATTAATTTTTTTGTATAAGTTTAATTAACAGAAACAGTCAGTTGTTATCTACATAGACAAATTTCTGACTAATTCAGGCCCTCTTTAGCAGTCTTTAAGAAACTTGGGCAACACAGCCCAGCACTGCAAGAGTAAAGTGTGCTGGCACATGGGATCACAGCTTGTCACCTCCTCGAGCGGCTCATATGTGGCATTTGCCACCATCAAAAAAAAAGAAAAGAAAAATAAGACATTGATAATAGACATCTGTAGTACCAGGCCTTGGGGCTCATTTCCCTAGAAATTAAACTAGAGTCTTGCAAAATCTGGATATTTCAAAAACCTGACCTTTAGGTAACCAAACTGCCCTCTCTTCTTTACTGCAATCTGCCCATACCCAGGGATTTCATTCTGTTTTAACCCAAAGGTCTTTGAAGCATATTTAGATGTTTCAGGTTGTACTAAGTGATGAGCAGAAGAAAATGAGAAGGGTCCTGTCTGTTGGGTAATTCCAGTAAAGCAGAGCAGGCTGTGAGCTTCAGCATACCTGTGTTACCAAAAGCTCAAAATGGAAGAGGTGGGAGGGAGGAACAAAGAGAATTTTTAGCATAAATTAGTTGGGCTGAAAATTCACAACCTTTAGAGCATTGCCAATAAACTCAGTCATGCCTTGGTACTCGGTAAAACAGAAAGGAAACTATTACAGCTATTTGCATCCCTTCTGTAACAGGGGAAAAAAGAAAACCCTCATATTGCTAAGTGACAGACTGAGTCAAACACTTCCTCTTTAATGAAAACTTTATTACATCCCAGCATGGTTACAATTTTGGAAATTGCTTTTAACAAGTTTGATGGGTTTTGGAGCTAGGACTTAATGTTATTGTCTTTTAAATTTGATCTTCTTCAAACTACATTTAATTTGATTGTGCTGTGGTGCTTACTTGCATATGAGCATGTCAACATTTTGCTATTTATTCACCCCTTTGCAAGCCAGACACCCACCTCCCCCAGTGCCACCCCCAAACACAGCACAGGGGGTATTCAGAAACCACAGGGTGTCCTGCAAAGCCCACAAAGCTGCAGTGTTTGGGTTTGGTTTATTTTTTCTTCCCCTCCAGACATACATGCTACCTAGGCTCCGCAGCTACTGCCAAAGAGGATTGCCTTTCCCACACGCGCATTTTAACATCTATTTCTCAGTGGCTCCCAGCACCACGTGAGATGAGGAAAAACCCCATCCTGCCTCGCTTGCCTCGCTTACCTCCCCCATGGTTTCCCCATCTCTTCCCCAAGGATCCCTTCATTTCCTGCATCGCACAGGCCCTGCCCTTGGTTTTGCTTCCCCTGTCCTGCTTTAACCCTTTCACACACCTGCTATCAATGCAAAATTAAGTAACTGCCAATCGCTGCCACCTTTCTGCAACCAGTTTTTCTGCAAAGGAGAAAAAAACCCAAAAAAACCCTAAAGCACTTCGGCTGCAGCTGGCAACAAGTAAAATGTGAAGAAATTGATAGGGTATGTGCATTGCTTCAGTCCTTGGAATGTTGTTCAGACACAGAATAAGGCTGTAACCCCTGTGAAACGCAGTGTGGTGGGCGCAGAGGAGACGAGCGAAGCATCTGCTGCTCTTGCGCAGTTCACACAAAATCTACATTAATCACTCTTTGCCTCCCTGATCTTTATCTCGGGGTGTAATGCAAAATGTCAGCAAATAATTTAGTCTTTACCAAGTTTAATTCACTCAATTAAATCTGTAAAAACTTTGCAACTCAGTTAGCAAAATGAAAACAAAGCCACAAAATGTCACGGAGGGGTGCAGGGAGTCAAGCCTTGCAGACCTTAGCAGCTTTCCCATCCTCCACACACCAGAGGCAGCCAGGCAGTAGCTTATTAAAAGACCCTGAAGAAACCAATATCTAACCTGAGAATCCAGATTTCCAGAAAGCTCTTAACCCAAATTTCCCAGTGTGACACAAGAGCAGATGCACAGTTTCTACAGTCTACATGGCCAAGTGTATTGGTGACCCTGCTGATTTAGGACATGAACAGAAGTTAGCTGTTGTGGCTTCTCTCGTGAGTCAGGGGAATATCAGAGATGGCGTGGGCTGACGGCCAAGAGACCTTAGCGTTGTTTTTGAAGAATGCCCTTGAGGCTGGTGGATTTTCCTGTTGCATCTCACCATGGTACATTCACCTCCACTGCACTAAACTGAGGCCGCAACTTGAAACTGAGAAAGTATCTGGCCTTCAGGATATTTATTAGTAACAGAATTAGGGAAAAAAGATCATTTTCTGAGCTGCTTAGGAAACGCACAGAATTACTTCACTCATTCTTTTTTCCTCTTTGATCTCAGTTGGCAGGTCTCTAACAAAATTAGCAATTAACAAAATGAATTTAAGATAATGCAATTTTATCTGGATTGGTTTAGCTGAGCCCTGAGCATGAGAAGCATTGCACAGAGAGCTAGGTAACCGTCATTTTTTTTTGCTACATACTCTGTCTAAACATATTGTTTCAAAATGTTACTTTCAGATAGATTTCTCCCCTCTCTACACATAACATCTGATGAGCAGGAAAACAGTAAACCAGAAATGTTTCTTCTGGAGAAAAAAAATCACGCAGGGATTCAAATGGGAACACGGGGTGTGGGAAGGCGGTGGCAGGTTTAAAACCCCTCGTGTAGCAGGACTGGCACAACCCTCCTCCTCGTCTTGCTCATCTGCAGTGCGTTGTCTGGAGCTGAAACGTCTCACATGGGCTCCACCCAGCCAGGCTTCAGCTGGGTTCAGGTGTTGGCTCTGTCCAAGCCAAGCTGTTACCTTGTCACTATTACTGTATGACAGACATAAGTGACATGGTTGGATGACACTTCACTGGGAGAAGGGGAAAGGAGAAGGCAGCACGTGTGTATTGAAGACATCCTGATGGGTTCATAGAATCACAGAATCGTTTAGGTTGGAAAAGACCTTTAAGATCATCCAGTCCAACCGTTAACCTTCACCTTCTTTTCCCTTGAAATACAACTTCTGTTCAGTGGCATCCAACAGCAGCTGATGTTTCCATCACTGGCAAAGTTGGGTTTAAATCCTGTGCAGCAGAACTGCTCTTGGTTCGTTTTTGAGATGCAAGGCCAGTCTTCACCTATCTGGTGCCACAAAAGAGACAGCAAGGGCACAGCATCCTGGCTGAGAGCCCTGACCCAAAGCTGTATTTAACCTGGGCTCCTGGTTTTCATTGCACAGGGAAACAAAACAGTCAGTGGCTCCCAGTGGCACAGACCGGCTGGCCAAAGAGCTGAGAAGACAAACAACTTCCAGATCCTGGCTGTAAACCAGGGCATTGCATTCCCTCCCTTCCCAGAAACAACATTTGAGGTGGCCTTATTCATGCTCCAGTGTTCTCTTCTTCTTCAATTTCCTGTAATTTAGTTCAGCCACAATATTACAGGGTTTCTAACATTTTCTGTTCAGGCCCAGTGAAGATTGTAAACATGTGTCTCTCCCAGTGTCAATGCTGAAGGTTCATCATCAGCAACATGGTAATATCTGGGATGCATTAATGAAGCCGGCTAATAAAAACGGGATGCAAGGATCTCATTTGGCAGGTCGCCTAATCAGATTTTTTCCTGCAAGTTGGGTGTGATGCTTGGCACAGAGCTGTGTTCACCTGGCTGAACTTCCTTCCATGAAGCAACAGCCATGGTGGGAGTGCAAGGTATCCATCTGCCCAGATATTTTTTTAAGTTCATTTGAATCTTTTCCCTTTCTCCACCCAAGTTATCTTGCTAAACTTCAGGTTTGTGCAACAGGCAGGAATGAAGAGAAATAGTTCAAATTGTCCTTAAAATGTGGGTTTAATATTCATGGTTTCATTGTAAACAAAAGCAAACAAAACCACAAAGTTGCTGTTGCTAAATAGGGTGGAGCCCCTACAACACCCATTAGCCAGGCTGGTGGTACAACTCGAGAGCTGCTGTCAGTTCTCGCTGTTGGCCTAGATCTGCAAGCAAAAGAACTGAGGCCACATAAATTTTCTGATTGGCTGGAAAAATTTGGATACAGCCTCTGTTGGGATATATAAATAGAAAGCAAAGTATTTTAGACCTTTCACTTTGAAAGCAGAGCTCTCAAGGCGCATGAAAATGCACAGAGTCACAGCAGTCATTCTCGCAATTGCGATCTCCAGTGGTGAGTTAGCTGAATTTTGTCAAACTTTGCTCATTGTAACCTGCCTTCTTTTTCTTTCCCTTTTCTTTTCTTTTTTTTTCCTTTTTTAAGGAAGTGTATCTGTAAGGATTTAGGAACTGTTTTGTTCTCTGCCATTTTTTGCTTTTGAAAATAACCCCTATCACACTGCATAGAAACCTCCACGGGAAAATCCTTTTTAGATAGGGTAAAGAGTTGTGGCAAAATTTTCTTGGAGTAATAATGTTGATTGAGTAAGAAAGAATCAGCCGAGGCATATCAATTACTGACAGCATGCATGTTTTCTTAAAAGCCTTTTACTTAAAGATCAGCCTGCTGAGCGTAGAGTGTTCCCAGAGATGTTTCTGTGTTTAATGTCATCACCTTTGATTTCACGAAGAATACACAATAAATGAAGACTACCTAGAGCAAAGGGCTGTTTTGCTCGAGGAAGGCATTAGAGATTTCCTGCACCCTTTTAGCACCAGAGCAGCACATCATTTCCCCTGTTCGCGTATACTCCCAGAGCCCAACGGGGATGGTGCCTGCCGAGCTGGTCACACGCGAATAAACCTCACCTCATCGCTTCTTGCTCAACCAACCCCATTCTTGCTAGAGCATCCCATGGGAAGCCCTAGTAGTTTTGGTGCGGGGAGCAGGGCTGTTAGAAGCTCGTAGAAGGTACCAAGTCAGGGGTTGCTTTTCCCCTTTTCTCCCCCATAAATATCTTCCCTCTCTCAGACATTGCCGGGGCCATAGGATCAGCACGGGTTTGATTGTGGGTGATGACAGCTGGAGTCTGGAATAAAAAATATGAGGATGTTACCCTACTGGCTGCTACTTTGAAACGGTAACATGGAAACACCAGGAGATAGAAAATGCAATTTGTAAAAGCTAGATGACAGCTTTGATTTTTGACTGGATCCCACATTAGGGAATAGGAATGGACCTGGTGGGTCTCTCTCAGCCCCATTTTCTACAGTTACAGTTCAGTATCCCAAGATCCCCGGTGGCTCAGGTTACTTTCCAGGCAGAGACAACCCGTAGCTCCAGCCCCACGCCTGCCGTGGGTGCAGCACGTCTGCCCTGGGGCAATGGGAGAGGAGCAGGTCACTCCATGATGTCCCCTCCAGATCTATTTGTTCTGCCTTTTTGCTTTGAAGTCACTGCTTTAAGTACCCTCAAACGTCATTTGACAAAGCATAAAACAAAAAAATGCTGTTTCATTGCATCCCTAAAATTAACTTGCATTAAAAGATGAACAACTTTCTAGTTCCCTGAAGCCTGATGCATAGTAACACCAAAGTCCAAAGGGGCCTTGCTATTGATTAAACTACAAGGGCTGGGAAATCCCCTTTCTAGTTTGTGGGTTTCATCTTCTGTTCTTCTCTTTTCTTCTCTTCTAGCTGCTGCAGCACAATGGGCAAAAATCTGCTCAAGTCAACCTTCAAACCAAATCAGAGGCTGTGACTCCTATGGCTGCGGCAGATACAATGACCCCAGGTCCTGGGCTGGGATGATGGGAGATGGCTGTGCTTGAAACTTTCTTAAAATAAAAATAAGCATGAAAAAATGGGTAAGAGGAGGGGTTCTAGCCGGCAAGGCACTCCACCGCAGGCTAACTTGCTTGCTCTTCTTCTTCAGAGGAGGGAGGAAGCACAAGGGAGTGGACGTGGTGTGCAAGGACGGCTCGGTGGTGTACGCACCCTTCACGGGGAAGATCGACAAACGAGCCAGGCCCTACGGAAACAGCAATGCCATCGATGATGGAGTCCAGCTTTCAGGATCAGGTACCAGAGCTGAAAGACATGTGTCTGATCGCAGAACACTCCGATTCACTTATAGATCTTTAAACTGAGCCAAAAAATGGTGAATGCAACCTGAACTGCAGTGTGCTTGCATGTGAATCCAAGCAAAAACCGTAAGTTTGAAATCCAGCTTCTGCTAATGCAGGAAAATTGATTGAAAGGATTACAGCATTTCACCTTTATTAAAAAAGTCAAAGGATGAAGCTGGTCCCTTTGCACATTTGGGGTAGGAAGAGCCTCCGGCTTGCTCATGCAGTTTGACCCACCATAATCCCCTTCCCCACCCTCCTCCACATTAATTTATTTCTTTTCTTATTCTCTCTTCTTCATGCTATAGGAGCATCACAGCATTTTCTGTAACTTTTTCTGCTGCTGAATCTCTTACCATTTTATTGTCATTTGCGTTTTGCTACTGAACATTATGACTTTGCCAGGCTTTTAAACCTTTTCACGGGAGCAACAGTTTCCCCCTCTTTTCTCTCCCCTGTTAACAGGATTCTGCATTAAGATGTTTTACATCAAACCTGTCAAGTACAGCGGCCCCATCCAGAAAGGAGAGAAAATTGGCGTCATGCTGCCCATGCAAAGGGTCTACCGAGGAATTACGTCCCATGTCCATATCCAGAACTGTGACTTAACAGATCCTACTCACAACCTGTAAACGGGCAGCTGCGCAGCAGGGACAAAGCCTTCAGCCCCCAGCTTGGGTAATCAGTAAATTGCTTGGGCATTCGGTAAATTGCTTGGGCATAGGTAGTCACTGTAGGAAAGTGGAAGCCACTGAGCCTCAAAGAGTTGTTCCACCTAAAAAGTAGCCATGAACAAAATGCTGGCGGTTATCTGAACATAACCAGACTCAGAGCGAGGTATAACGCATGCTGCAACGCTGCTGTTGTGTCTTGTACATCGCTGCACTCATAGATGAAGGCTGAAGCGGTGGGGAAGGGACAGTGGGAGGTGGTGGGTCCTTGATGCTCAGCAGTGAGCAGTGAGCCGGGCTGCAGCTCACTTGTCTTGGACTTCTCTGCTCTCTTTGCAGCCAAACGCGAAGATTTCTTCAATAAGCCGGAAACTTCACTTGTGCTTGCATATGGAAAATCACATTATTAAAGGGCTGCTTCACTGCAAATTGCTTTGAATTTCTTTGGTGCTGTCACAGAGTTTGGGCTGGGTTCTGCTTTTTTAATGCATCTGGGGAGAAAAAAACCTGTATAAAGATGAAACCCAAATCTTTCCTGGGGCCCATCACCAAAAACATAAAACAACATTAATGAATTAACTCCTTTTCCCCAGACTCCTGCTTCGGGATTGCCTTGGCACACCCAGGTTTCCTTTTGTCCAAGTGAGGCATTTCTTTCCATTAGTAAATCAGCTGAAGACTTTCTCGGAATGACAAGCTCTTGTTAACAGGACAGGGCTTTTCAGGCCAAGGCTATCGACGTGCTACTGGGAGCCTCAAGGGCTAAAGTGCTCTACAAGTGCTGCAGACTCGCGTATTTACTGATGCCACTGCAGCCTCGGATAAGCAGGGAAGCTGCTTCAGTGGGAGCTGCGTATGTCCTGACAGCAGATTTGTTTTTTCTAAGAAACTACAATTTTTGTTGTCAATACAACTGAGCTTTCTGCTAAAAAAAAAAAACTTTTCCATATACCAAAAGCAGAAACACTTCAGCAAAAGTCCCCAGGGTTTTCCAGTTTTGCCCAATTTTTTTTTTTTTTTTGTCATGAAGTTGGCTGCCTGCAGAAAAGAAACACTTCCACTTAAGTTTCACTTGACTAAAATCCCAGTTTTTGACCCAGTTATCAACTTTTCACACTTGAAAAGGGAAGGTCCCAATCAAGCCCCTGTGTCTCCATGCAAAGCCTAACGAAAGACTGAGCTGACCTTGCTGACTGAGCAGGGCACCGAGCCTCCAGCCTTAATACCCTCTACTGCAAAATTAACATTTTTACTTGATTTTAGTCCTTGTACGGGAAAGAAAACATGATCCTACACTTTTTTCCCCAGCAAAGACAGGTAAGCTCTTCCCTGGGTCACACTTGTCTCCCTTCCCCTCCCTCAGCCGTCATGTGCATCAGGAACCTGTTAATAGGGACAGAAGATCCCATCACCTCCTAAATTCCAGCACACAGGTATCGCCAGGGCCCCAGGAGGAACATGAATGCCAAAACAGCTCTGAGAGACCCCAGCCTGCCTTCTCCCTGCCCTCGGCACAGCACCCTGCACTCCAGAGACCTGTGCCTGCTCCCAGCGACTCGTGGTCCCCCCGGCTTGTGACGGAGCTGCTCCCAATTCACCAGCTTTGCTCCTCTATAAGTAACATTTTCACCTGTACGTTAATGAGAAGAGCTCAGCGCTTTTCTGGTCTGTCCCCACAGATTGGTTTCACAAACCTTTTCAGGGAGCTATTATTTAATCTGAGTTTTTCCAGCAGCGCAGGGAGGCGCAGTGCTTTGGTACAGGGATGCGGGATGCTCCAGCAGGTGCCTGAGAGAGGTAGAGGGCAAACGCTAAACACTCCTGGTTTAGCTGGGGCTGTCACCCAGCAGCAGAGAAGAAAAAGTAAATACCGCTTTCTATCGTAGGTTACAGAGCAGTTAGGGCAAACAGTGTAAGTAAAACCAGCTTTATCTTTTCAGTCTAGTAACAAAAATAACTGGCTGCAGAAGAAATGAAAATATAATTCATAGTTGACTCTGGGAAGGAAATAAAGGGCTGATACAATACAGTCCTAGAAATATTCAAGGTGAGGGGAAAGGATGCTGGGGGAAGTAACAGGGGCAACTGG